ACTGGCTTTCAGAGAAGCCACATACAGGCTGAACTTGAAGCTAATTTAGTGAATTCAGTATTACCTGCACACACACACAAATACCTCCTATGTGATAAATATTTTCTCAGTATTCAATGTGCTCCCCAGTGACACGTTACATCTGCTATGTAAATGGTATGAATAACCATTGGGATGGTATAATTATATAATCTTTAATCTTCCTATCTATATATTTTTATAATCAATAAATACAATTTTAAGACCTACATGTCTTATTTCAATATCTTTAATCAAAACAGAAGAGACACACTAAGATCAAAGTTGAATGTTGTGACCTCTCTCAATATGTTAAACACCTACATTGTATTTCTTCACAAAGTTTTTCTCTCCAAGAATGAACTTTGAAGAGTCCCTTCCTTCTCTGTCTTAGCACAAAATTGGCTACTTGTGGACTTTCCTACAAAGGATGGGGCCCAGGCTGACAAATCATTTGCAAAAAACAAGTATTTTTATATAAATTTGTTTTAAAAGGTTGAATATTAATCAAGCTAAAATTCTGTTGTCCAGGAAAAGTATCATTGTGATTTCCTTATGATCAGTCTCAGAAGCAGTGAGTGAAATTATGTATGTTAAGGAATGGATTTTTCCATTCTATGTAATTTCCAGGTTCTTAATTAGGGAAAAAAAAAAAAAAACATTTACCAACTTCTCTTTTAAATTGTTTGTGATATTTTTAAACATCGGGGGGGGGGAGTTTCCCTTAAAATATCAAAATCATGTTAGAAACCTTCAAATCAGGCAGTTTTTTATGCAATGCAAAATACACAAAAAACATTAATATCATTAGCATTATCCATTTTTTCCTGATACTCCTAATACTCTCTTTTAAAAAAGTCTGATCTGGAACTAATAAAGATTTTTTTTAATTTAAGAATTCTTTCTTAATGATTAACTCCTCTCAAAATTTCTTAGAGTATCCAAATTATATTTTAGAATCTTTGTGGTATTTGGAATTATTTTCCTTAGGATCCAAATGTCCAAAATGATCTCTGACCACTAGATCACCAAGAGTTACAAAGAAAACTATACAAAAACAAATGAAACAAAAAACTGCAAGTTAATACAGAAAACAGACTTGACTAAAACATTTGGTTTGAGAAAAGATCACTGGAGATATAGAAAGTAATAGACTATTTCTAATGCTAAAACTCCGTATTTCTAGAAAATTCTGAAGTTCCAGAGATCCCAACTGAGACCATTGTTTAAGCTTTAAATGAGACAAACTCCAACAATGTTTGAGGTAGAGACCACACAGTAGTTAATACTTTCTGACAAAATGTATTTCAATTTGGAATATTCCAAATTATAAGAAGATCAAGGCTTTTTATGTTTATATATTGATAGGGACTGTTAAGTTTTCCAAAGCCAGTCTTTGGGTTTTTTTGTGTATGCTTGATAAACTTATCTTAAAAAAAGCATGATGCAAAAATTCTTCCTTACTTCATGGACTTTATATTTTCATGTTAATTTCTGTTAAGAATCATCATTTTCTACAAACTCTAATGTGGGTACACTTTTCTCTGCATGAATTCATGATTCAATGAGTATGATTATTAGGTTACACAGAGAGAAAAATTTGCTGGGAAGAGCAGTAAATTTGCAAAATACCAAGTTTACGATGACACACAGTTTAAAGCAGAAAATCAAGATGCAGAAATCTAACCAAACAAGAAGTACACATGTAGATTCAAGGGATTAGACATGCAAAATAAACTCTGGCCTCCACAAAAGACAAAGCTTTGGTAACTGAAGTCTCTTCAAAAGATGAGAGCTAAGGAGAAAATGGGATGTGGTTGGAAGGAGCAACATACTAAGTTCAGAGCGAGAACATGAAAATGTTCTGCAGTAATAAGCAGAGTTCTCGCAGACACAGATAGTTGTCATTCCACACAGTCACTACATTATAAAAGAATCCCCAGCCCCACCTCACGAGCTTCTGGTCAGTGGAGGGACAGGCCTCCTTCCCCACATTGCTCCTGTGGCTGTGGACCCTGCAGAGGGTTCTCCCGCCATCCTGTCCCTATGTCATGTTTCCACAGGGACTCAAGGGCTTAGATGCAGCACACAGCACAAACGCACGGATCCTGCCAGATCCGTGGCATGGATGGGGGCAGGCATACGTTTCCTCTCTCCACACATGCAGCAGTGTTTCCCAACAGGGCCAGGCAACCCCCTTGCTGTCCTGATAGCCTATGAAGATCGTGCCCCATGGTGGCCAAAGCAGTCTGGCCTCCGTATCACGGGGTCACACACAGTATCTGACTATGCAGTGTCACAGTTTCACTTTTCTTTGTTTTATCTACTGGAAGAGAGAAGGCCCATTTCAAAAGTGGGGGGAAGTGAGTTAGCACAACAGATTGTGACAGATTTATTACTATTTATCATTGTAAATATGTATCGAAGAAAACATATAAATGTCTTTAGTCATAGTCACTCCAAAAGAAACCTTTTATTATCTCCAATCTTTTGGTATCTGTTATACATACACTAATACACATTGAAATCAGCTTTGGAATTATCTATCAGATAAATATTCATAATTTTATTTGAACTTAAAAAAGAATAACCATGGCAAAGGTCTAAAAATGAAGAAAAATAGATTTACTGAAGAAAACGTGTTACAATGCTTAGTACAGATCGCTTCTCAGAAACATGTTCAAATACAGACATTCGTGGTGCGAATGCAGATGGATCTTTACAGGAGTAGTAAGCAATCAGAACATACATACAATGAAGCTAACATAAACGAGGTAAAACTGCCACTAAAATGGAGCTATGTCCCAAATGCTAAATAAGTAAGAGACAGGATTCAAAACCAATGAAACTACCTTATTCTTGCTTAGAGATAAAATTTTCATTTTCAATTGAATTTTTCTCCTTCCTGTTTTTCAAAAAAACCAGGAGTATTTACCAAAATGTTCCATGAGGACCATATAAACATGTATCCAAGATAAATTCTCTAACAAGAATTAATCCTAAATTATCACTAAAAGCCAAAAATTAAATGATGTAAACTAAATTCCCAATTCCTGAATTTATTTGGGAGAAAAGAAAGTTACTTTTATTTTTCTGCGTGTATCACAATGCACCAGCAACACATAAATTGTCTTAATAGCAAAGAAAAAACTGTACTAGAAAGATTTCCAATAGGGTCCAGTTAGTCACAAGGAAATAGTTAAAAAGTTTATAATGAATTATGAGGAATTATTGTTGACAATGATAAAGCATACAGATGACATTTAATGTCACATCAATGCATTGCTTAGAAACTGTGTACATTATTGCATAATCTTTCTGTTGGAAAAAACATACTAAGTTAATTTTAATATGAGGCATAAACAGGGGTTGATAGCTCTAAGTTTTTGTGGCTTTTATCGTCTTAGAGCAGCCAAGGTCTATGTAATGTATTTAATATTATCTGTGTTAGGATCAGGCATGTTTAAAGTGTAAACAGCTGTGAGGACTATATCATTTGAAGTTATCATAAAAGCTATTAAAAGCTAAAGTTTCATCCACATGAAATCCATCGTCTACTTCAAGCTCAGAATACACTTACAAAACCTTTGGGAGAGATTAGTCAATTTCAATACAACATGGAATTTCAAAGAATAAAAAATTCAGTACATTTTTAAGTAACTAACTTGCTGGTAGTCCAAAAATTACTATTTTATATGCCACTGGCATTTTATTTACACAACATTTTTCTATATTTATGGATAATTTTGTGATGCTTCTTCAACATTATCATGTCTATGATAATCAGCTTGCAAAATCTAGGTTTTTTTCCTGATAAGACTTATTCTGATATATTCATCTAATAATTTTTTGGATGAGCTGAACTGAAATCAAGTCAAATACACAGGTGTTTGGGTTAATCTAATCTTAGCACATTTGCAAAACCCATTATTTTTCTAATTTATTAAAAATGAAATAAAAAGTAATATGTGAATGTTGATTGGTAATATAGTTCCAGAAATCTACATATAATTTTATTTTAAAGTGACAGAACTTATAATAAAGCTCATTAGCATTTTTTTCAAGGACTACTTTAGTGCCTCAAAATTAAAATAAAACTCTGTCCACATATCCAAGGGGGCTTCAAAAGTTCATAGAAAAATAGCATTACAACATAAAGCCCATCAGAGGAAGGAACCAAGAATGGGAAAAAGCAGGAAAGAAAAAAGAAAAGAAGGGAGGAAATCAACTTTTTATTTTGCAAAAGAAAGAAATTACTACAAACAGACCAGCCCTAATCAAAATTAAATACCCAGAAACTCAAATCTGAAAATACATGTAAGAATTCAAAATATGCCATCATGTATTAATCGTGATCACAACCAACGTCTGCTGTGTCAGGGGCTCTGGCAGCCACAGACACTCCTGCGTGCAGCTCCCGCTACTGAAAACCCAGAATGCTTTTGGTTACAGCTGGATCCTTCAGTTGTCACCTGGCGTTACAGACACAGCCGGTTACTGATGCAGCTACCTCTGCAGCCTTTATTCAGCAGCCTCTCTAGAAAATAGAGACATTCTCCCTGCACTCTGGACTGAAACCCATGTACATTTTTCCTAAATCCTCTCCACAAATCTCCTTTCGCATGCAAATCCATAAATCATCATAATACTGACAAAGAATTTAACCAACACACGAAACTAATACTCATTCTCCTGGAAGCCCTGTGCAGGTAAAACTCTTGGAACTTCAGGCACCTTTCCCCAGCCCTCTTCAGAGCTTACCCGGCTGACTATCAGCGTGACCACCCAGTCTCAGGATGTGCCACTCATCACTCTGACCGGGTCAGCTGGTTGGACTGGCAGGTCATTCCTGCCTCATCCGCGTTCTAGATACACACACTGCTCTGGGTGCGTGGAACCTCACTGCCTCTTAACCTCTCTTCGCACCAATACAAAGCACAACAAGATCAACAATACGCACAGCAGGAAAGAGCAGTACTTACTGAAGACGGCAAACCTGGAGGAACTTTTCGAACTTTCTTTGTCTGTACCTCTGAAAGAAAATGAGGACATGGTGAGCTCCCACAGGCACAGACTCCCAACTAATGAGTATCAGAAGCCACAGAGCCACGCAGATTAGAAGAGATTTTCTTACATTACCTTAGCAAACAACCATCACTACTGTACCCTTTTATTCTAACAGGAATCACATTCTGCATTGCTCATCAAAGTGAAGACACCGTATTTAATTTTTTTGCCGCTTTAGTGTTTGTTTTTTTTTTTTCCTAAATGTTTTTATGTACACGGTCATGAAAAAACCAGAAATAAGCATACACTAAAAAAAGTTCTGTTACTCTAAGTTGCTAACATATAACTCAGTGGACTACTGGGAGGAAGTCACAAGCCCGGCGACTGAGCCAGATTTTATGGATTTTTGGGGACGGAGGAGTAGGGTTAGGGTGAGAATGTGGTATTTGAAAAGAAAAGGGAAAATATACGAGTCACAATCACTAGGCCACTCAGAGAATATCTTACCCATGGCAGTACCGTGAAGAGGCCTTCTTCGGGGGTTATTGCTAGAATACTGATAGTACTGGGAGCCAGGTTTGGTGGGCGAAAGGGTTCCTGGGTTGCCCATATCCATGTCACCTCCAAGGAGACTCTGCTGAAAGGTTAAAAAAAGGGAAAACAAACATATAAGGTTAATTTTTTACAATCACCGCCCCCATCTGATTGTTAGCACTTAAACCAATGCAATAAAGCAAACAGCATCTGCTCAACTGAAACAATTAGACACAACACAACAAAAACCAAGCAGAAACGCAGTCTAAGAAACCATCACAAAGTTTGCGAATTTTTAATTCTTTACTTGCACAAGGAAGATGCATCCCTTTAAACAGTATCTTTTAAACCTTTCAAGATGACTTGACATTTTTTAAGAAAATGGCATTGGAAGAAGGCAAATATTTTCTCTGCTAGACTTGTGCGCCTGTCTGGGAACTACTCATGCCCTTCCCTAACAAGAACCAGGAAGATTCTCCTGTTTCCAACAAACACAACTTGCTTGGCCGCTCACACTGGGGGCGAGTGTGGACGAGCTACCCCACTGACGGCCCTGCCTCTCTCCAGCTACCCATCACAGCACCCAGTAAGGGAAAATTCTGCTGAACCCAGAGGAGTTCCAGCCCTCACACTAACTTTCAAAATCAGAGGAATACTAAGCTCACAGGAACAAACCAAAGAACATTCGAATGCCCTCTTGAGGACTATTGGAAGCGAAAACACATCCCCACAGACTAAACATTCACCTGAACACTACAAAACTTTTACAAATATCATTAACTTATTACCGTGTGACAAATCACTAAACTTTCAAAAATGATGACATAAGAAAAAAATTGTAATAATATCACATTCTCAAAAAACTACATAGAAACTTACCCACGATATATAAATCGCCTGATTATACTCTGCATTGAACACATTGTTCTTTTAATTATTCTGATATGCAATAAAACAAGTGCAGATAGTACCATTTATATTAAGAACAAATTTACTGTTTAATAAAGAAATTTTAAAATTAAGTACTAAAAATCTAACTTTATCGTTACTTGTAATCAACTTTTACTGACTGAACTAATTACTGTCCTTGATAAAGTACAGAATGTGTTTTCCCTAATCTAAATTCTAATCACCATGTCACTCACAACAGACTTAGGGATGCTTCACTAACACACTATTCACATGCAAAATACTCTAAATAGGCCAATTATGACTCTGCCCCTGTTCCCTGGTTAACCCGCTGAGAACTGAAAAATTTCACAAGGCAGTCACCAACTAAAACAAAGGGTCCTTGTTTTAAATTAAGACAGTCTTTTTGATTCCTAAATAGCTCAACAAAGTGGCATGTCTTCTAGTGAAAGCAGTTGGTCAAATATGACCCATAAGCCGGAAAATCAAAAATTCAAACCTCCCCCTTCCCACCACCATATAGCAAAATATCATAAAGAGGATCTCTCCACCGTGAGGGGTTTTGTGAGTGTTGGATGAGTAATATATAAAGGACTAATCAGCTACTGACAAGCTAGCCTTCACTGGTTCCAGTTTAAGACTTTTTCAAGGGATACAAAATCAGCAGCACTTTAAAATAAAACTTCAAGGAGGAGATTTTAGGTTGAGAGCACGTTTTGAGTAATAAGTTCATTGCTAGTATTATTCGCAACATAAACATCTGATGAAAACACTAGATAATTTGCTGGATAAAAACCTGCCGTCTGCATGCTCATCTACTGCTTCTTATGAAGTTCAGACACTAAAATGCTACACAAGGACAAACTAAAATATCGAGCTCATGATTACAAAGTTTTCTGTGAATCAGGACTTGAGGGTACAACATCAAGTAAGTTCTTGGTCGCTTTATGAGTGGGATTCAACCTGAATTTTCATCTCAACCTGAAATTTCACTCTTGGCAAGCCTTATTAACAACATCCACATTTTTTTTAAGTCTCGCAGTGCAAGTTCGCTCTGAAATTTCTATCAATGAAACTGAGATGATTTGAGATCATAACCTCCTTCCAGTTAGGTACCTGATCTCTATTTCCACCCCCCCCCCCTTTTTTTTCTTTTTCTAAAAATACATAAAATAGTTCAAACAAGGGCTGGTGAAATGCATGCTTCTCTTTTAGCAAGCTTCATCCCTGTTTATTTCTTGTTGGTCCTTGGTGGCAAAGGATTCCAATCTCAAGCAAGTATGCGCATTCAATAGGTCAACCTCTAAAGACAAACAGGCTTGCTAGCCTAGGTTTTAGCAGCATTCATAATACAACTGTGAAAAATATAAAATGCTAACTAGAAAACAGTTAACTTATTGTGGTTGACCTTATTGTTGATAATTTTTGAAATCTCATTTCCCAGGCCAGACAGAAAGAAATAAATCATACATCCAACCCTCGCATATGCAGCCACATGGACTATACAAAGCTGCAGTGCTAAGAGCAGACAGCACTTAGAAACATTTACTGGCTCCTGCTCATCTTTTTTTTTCCCTACAAAGCACATTCCTGTTTCTTTTTAGATGTGTTTGTTCCTTTTTCTTTTTCATTTGGACAATAGAATCATTCTTCTAAAGCCTACAAAAATAAACATTTCCTTACACTTAAGGGGGCCCTAATCACCCCCTTAGGGAAAATGAAGATAAAAATATATGTGTTCTTATCGTAGAGTATACTTGTAAAATGAACAATGACCATTTACTATTGTTTGGCCTTTACGTCACATACTTAACTCTCTATAGCAATGAGAGATTACAAAAAAATGTTTTTTCCACTGCCTGAAAAATTCTAGTTTGTCAATTTAAAAGGGTTAATTGTATTAGATTTAAGGTCAGTTAAATCCTGCACAGAATGCATAAGGTATTCATTTATATATATATAGAAATTTGCCTACATTGATATAGTCTGAAGAAAAATTTAGGCCTAATCAAAGTTAAGTTTAAAAGCTTAGCCTACTTTTGAAGTGGGCATACTCATCTTTGGCTTCCATCACATTATAAAGGTTTCAGGTTTTCACATTGTGCAACCTCATTCTCTGTGGTTATGCTTGGTCCCAGTAGTGAACTGCCCCTAGCCTGTCAGGAAACACTGGAAGGAAGATGTGGCGTCGCACAGCTAACCTGTAAATCTTAAACCCAGAGGTTAGCATTTTGCTAACTGTCCACAATGTGATGAGACAAGCCCTTATTTTCCTTCAAAAGCAAACAATTTCAAGACAGAAAACAGCCTAACCAAAGAAAAAAAATATACTGACTTCTCCCATCAGGTCTAAATGGTTTCAGGTTCAGCCCCCTGCGGCCAACTGTCCACCAAAGAGCAGTCCCAGCATAGCCGTACAAATGGCAAATACAGCCTTTTGCCAGAGTCTCTTTCAATTAAATTTTCTGTTTGTTTCACATGGATCTGGGTCTTAGCCTGTCTTTCCAACACACCTTCCTCACCCTGTCCCGATTCCTTTTGGGGGGAGCTTCTGAACATACTTGATCAACCACTGAACTTTATACTAAAGCAACGAAGGATGCAAACCATGAATTAAACTTGAAGAACAGAAAAGCAGCCTATATCTCAAATTAGATTTATAACTGAATGGTAATCAAAAATAGAACTAACTGCTTGAAGCTTAAATTATCAACTTTTTTCTTGTTAAACTAAAATCATCTTGCTTGGAACTATTATTTCATTTCAGTCAGCACTTTAAATGTAATGGGTGGGTGGTGCATGTCTAAAAAGGAAGATTATATTTACCCTTAATTATAGATATGAGTGAGATCAGAGTACGATGAATGCTGCTTTTTTGGCTTATAATTAATTCATCTAATAGGTGAATGACCTTGAATTTCAAAGTTGGAACCTGGGAGAGGAAAAAAAAGAAGTAGAAGGGAGGAAAAAAACCTCTGGGGAAAAGCGAATGTGCCCCTGGCTTCTGAGGGCTGTCTCTGATTTTGCGTCACTCCCATTACGTTGTGATCCGGTATCAGACACAACATCTTGGGGGGATGTGGTAGAACAGAGAAAAGCAGTCTCAGATGAAACCAGATTAAGCTCCTTTTCTGAACTATTGCCAAATGCTTGTGAGTCTAATTCATGTTTGGGTATTCTAGTACTCACACAGCTGCAATTCCATTCTTTCATCACAAACCTAAGTGATGTATAGTGGCTTTGTATGGTGAACTGACTCTATAAAGCCAGGAATTTTTTATGTTAATATGGAAATAAAATTCTGAACCAGTATAAAACTTAGGAATGCTGGACATATGCAGAGGTAACTAATACACTTTGCACTGGAAAGTGCAAATACACATGGAGAGAAATTACAAATTAGGCTTGTTTAAAACCCTTCTTGTTACAACCGAGGTCATTTCTACACAGTTAATTCTGCACAGAATCGGGTTTTCAAAGACACTGCTGAATAAGATTCCTAACAGCCATGGGGAAGTTTTTGCAAATCCCTGTCGAATAGCTGCTGCTGAATTTGCCATTCTGACCACAGAAGAGCCATTGCTGACTTACTCTAGTAGCAGGAGGGGGCGATAATTTTGCTGCTGTTGGCACTTACTCTGCAACCTAGAATATATCTCGCACCAAAGGGCAATGAAGAACACAACATTTCCACCTGTCCACTTTTGAACTTCAACGCTCAAAACTGAAGGTCAGTCTTTGGACAATCATTATTTCTGATCCCCAAAGATCCAAGAAGGTACCTTTGTAGCTATTTTTCCCCTCTGTCCTATGCCTGGTTTCAACAAAAAGAGGACTGGGGAAACTTAGAGACAAGATGTCAGGGAAACCTCTGATAATCAGGGACTTCACAGACTGTTATTGTGTTGCAGAGAAATACTAATTTCTGAAATGACCATATAGCACATGGCTTCCTTTAAGCTCTTTTGGTCAATGTTTTTTATTTCAACTGTAAATATGTAATGCAGATTCTGATGGTTACAAGTCAGAAGCAATGTTCAAACACATTAAGGAAAGAGGGGGTGGTTCTGAGGTCTGACAGATCAGACTGAACCCTAGTTCAGAGGAACACCAGCAGTGTGATTAGGAGTTAGTCATGCAATTGCTCCAACCATATTTTCCTCCTTTGAAACAAGGACACTAAAAGCTCAGCCA